TTTCAATTGGTCACGGATGAAAGGAACAGAGCATTTGGTGACTTATTTAATTCTAATTTATCATTTTTCTCTGCCTCTCTATTTTTCTTTCCTAATCCTCTTTTTTGTGCACACACTTCAAGATCCACAGTTCAAACTCACCACCTGCTTTCAGATACCCGATACCTGTTGCTATGAGTTGAAACCAACTGGACGGCACACAACAACAACCCTCTTTTTATCCCATCCTCCTGTCCTGTCTCCCTTCTCTGGCACTAAAGTCTGCTCGTAGACAGGCAAGGGGTGGTCTGAGTTGGTAAGAAATGAATGAATACATTTACTCCTTTGTGTCCTCCCTTTCCCTACCTGTATTCCTATATAAGAGTCTTGACGTGGCACTGCTGGATAAGCACCGGACCGCAAGATCAGTTCGAACAGCAAGGTCAGCAGTTCAAACTCACCAGTCATCCCTTGGGAACACTATGCAGGGTTGCTATGAGTTGGACCTGACTTGACACCACTTAACACCAACATTCTTACACAGGACAAAGCATTGGTGTTTAACCATTGGGCTGGCGTCTTATGGATCTATGGAAAGCCAAGTTTAATTTCTATCACTATAGATTATACTCCCTTAATCAAAGATGACATATGTAGAAAGAAATAAAGCTAATAAAAGGTTCAAATTCACCAGCCGCTCCACAGAAACCCTATACAGGACCGCTGTGAGTCGGAAATGACTCAACCATACTTTACAACAATAATGAAAGGCTAAGTGCTAATAATAGTGATGGCGATCATATCTTTTTATAAAATGTATTGAGGTACACTTTAGTGTTGTCGTTGTTCAGTGCTATTGAGTTGTTTCTAACTCAGTGACCCAGTATAGGGTTTCCAAGGAGCGGCTGGTAACTTTGAACTGATAATCCTGTGGTTCAAACTGACCTTGCGGTCTAGTGCTTATCCTACAGTACCACACCAGGACTCCGAGATACACTTTTGTTGTTGTTAAGTGCCATCTAATCGGTTCTGACCCATAGCAACCCTGCATAGGGTTTCCGAGGAGCGGCTGGTGAGCTTGAACCCTGACCTTGCAGTTCAAATGGCTTTGCAGTCTGGCGCATTAACCCACAGCGTCACACCAGGACTTCGAGGTATACTTTACATACCATAAAATTCACTGATTTTCAGTGTTTCTTTCAAAACTTTTTAGCAAATACTCATAATTTTATAACCATCGTCAATCCAATTTGAGAACACTTTCATTACTCCTCAAAACAACTTAAGCTCATTTTTAGGTACTCCCTGTTTCTACCTCCATTTCTAAGTAATCTCCTTTATGTCTCTGGATTTTTCCCCCCATATTTTATAAAATAAATCATTGGTGACTAGCATCTTTTATTTAGTGTAATGTTTTTGAGGTTCATCTATGTTGTAGCGTGTCTCAGGACTTTGTTCCTCTTCACGGAACACTTTTATGAATCGCAGCATTATATAAAGAGCATGGGCTTCAGAATCATAAAAACCTGAGGCTGAATCACAGTGTTACCACTTCTTAGCTGTTTGATTCTGAGGGTAAATTCCTTAACTTCTCTGAGATTCACTTGTAAAATAAAGATAATCATTCTTCCATTAGAGGACTTTCTATGAATTAGCTGGATTGTGTCAACAAATATACACTCAAGAAATCCATTCTTTTTCTCTGAATTCCCTAAGAACCTTTGATTCTCTAAAATGTGCCATGGTTCAATCAGCTGAATCCTATAGCCTTCCTAAAAGTCCTGGTGTGGTGCTGTATGATAAGCACTGGACTGCTAACAGCAAGGTCAGCAGATCAAACCCAACAGCCGCTAGGCAGTAGCAGAAAGATAAGGCTGTTTGCTCCTGTGAAGATTTACAGCGTCAGACACCCTTTGTAAGGTCACTATGAGTCAGAATTAACTAGATGGCAGTGAATTTGAGTTTTTGTATAGTCTCCTTACCAGTCATCATCCTAACTAGTTTAAAATGGAAGACCACATAACAAGGAATATCAGAAAGAGAATTCTGCCAAGAGGAATTACAGCCTTCATTAACAGAGCCCAGAGGGTGCGGGCTTAAAGGGATTTCCTCCAATTATATTGCTGTCATTTTCCATAAGGAAGGTTAGACTGTATTTAACTACTACTTTAAAGGGAGAAATGTGTCAAATTCTGTCCTAGAACATTTTACAGAGTTAGTCTTAACTTTTCAAAGTTCTAAAACATCGTATTTTCCCACTTAGTCTTATAAAACTGCCCTGATTAACAACCCTCAGATAAGATGCAACCAAATAGCAAAGGGCCAGGCAGGAATCCAGGAGTAAAATAAATTCCACTTCAAATCCTCAAACCTTTAGCCAGTGGTTTAAGATTCTGTCTTTCATAAACTGTTGGAAGAACTTGAATTTTAAGTGTGTAGCAAAATAGACCGAATTGAAACTCTTGTTTGTTTCGCTAATCCACCTTCTCTAATAAGAACATGTCTTCAATATGAATGCCAGTTTAAAAGGATCCTGGAATTAACTCTAGGACACAAAGTTTACAGAGTCTACCCCCTTAGCACTGAGTATAAAGTTTTCTGTTCTAAACCTGTCCTGCTTTCTAAATCATTCTTTCTCTACATTTTTTAAGCCACCACTGTTCCCTTTATGTTTCTATTTCTCTTCCCTTCTTGTTTGGGATTTATCACAGCTGCATTTCTTCCTCTCCATCTCCACTGCCAGTGGCGCTCCCAAGTTTACTTACTGTTAAGTACTTGTAATCATTAAAAATAGAAAAGGATAAGGCTCCTCAATATTTCTATAAATAAAACTGGTTTGGAGCATATTTTGCTTATCCCTCACTTCAAGAAGATTGGTACAGTGTATCTCTATTTATGGCATAAAATAACTGTTGTCAAATGTAAACTAGTTATTAGGAGAGGCAACAAGTGGCTTTGTAATCTGTACATACTAATAATAGACACTAAACATATTATGGAGTCCTGGTGTGGCGCCATAGTATAAACACTGGACTGTTAACCATGAAGTCAGTAGTTCAAACCCACCAGACACTCCTTAGAAACCCTAGACAGAGTCACTATGAGTCAGCACTTCACAACAACAACAACAACATGCATATTATTGGCATTAAATGTGGCAAAGGTTGATGTGCTCAAATTGGTAAATTAGCAAGCGAGTCCGACTAATTTGAGCTTCTACTAACATAGTGCTCTGGTAGCGTAGTGGTTACGAATCGGGCTGCGAACCTTAAGGTCAGCGGTTCGAAACTACCAGCCATTCCGCTGGAGAAAGATGAGGCTTTCTACTCCCGTAAAGATTTACACCCTCGGAAACCCTGTACAGGGTCGCTATGGGTCGGAACCGACTAAACAGCACTTAACAACAACAACAACAACAACTAACATAGTGGCTACAAGTAGTACTGCTCACCAACAGCAGTTTGAAACTACCAGCTGTTCCACAGGAGAAAGATGAGGCTGTCTGCTCCCAAAAAGATTTACAGCCTCTAAAACCCTATACAGGATCGCTATGAGTCGGAAACAACTCCACAGCATATAAACCACCACTACCACCACCACCAAGGAGCTCTGGTAGCATAGTGGTTACAAGTTGGGCTGCTAACCTCATAGTCAGCGGTTCGAAACTACTAGCAGTTCTGCGGGAAAAAGATGAGGCTTTCTGCTCCCATAAAGATTCACAGCCTTGGAAACCATGTTCAGGGTCACTATGGGTTGGAACCAACTCGACGGCACTTAACAACCACCACCACCACTACCACTGTGATAAAGTCAGATTCACACAGATAAAGGCTATATACAGATTGAATTGAAAACTTTCATTACTGTACTTACGTAAGTATTTCTGTGGTTCCTTGCTGCAAGTACTTATTTGAAAATAGGAACTATACACAAAATTCATGGCTCACTTTTCTCTCAATATTGAAGAAATGAATAGAGTTTCAGGAGACAAGTTTCTGCTCATTATGTTATCACCTAAAATTGACTCAGGAATTCATAAGTGTGATAAAAAGAAGTCAAAACATTTTGGGGGACGTCAACAGTTTACGTTTCCTTAGATTTGTGAATTTCCCCAGTCTTTAAAAATATTTTTATGCTTAAACTTCCTTTTCATAGCACTATAGTGAAGAGCAGGCGCTCTGGTAGCATAGTGGTTACGAGTAGGGTTTCTAATCTCAAGGTCAGCAGTTCAAAACTACCAGCCCTCCCACAGGAGAAAGATGAAGCTTTCTGCTTCCGTAAAGATCAACAGCCTCGAAAACTCTATGCAGGGTGGCTATGAGTTGGAACCGACTCCACAGCACATAGCCATCAACCATCAACCATAGTGAAGGCAGAATTTATAACTAAGACTATTTTAAGGGTTTTATTTTAAGCAGTACCATAGGAATTCCTGGCTACCATACGAATTTATCTGATGGCATATACAGAAACAGTCTAGTAAATCTGTGATTTAGCAAAAATGTTCTTCTCTACTGAACACTCTTTTGTTCAGCAGTACATAATGAAATGATCTTTAGTTTTTTAACTTTAGTTTCATCATTCAGCAAACACTGGTTAAGCCCCAAATTACAGTGTATGGCTAGCATATTTAAAGTTTTTTTTGTTTTTTTTTAATCACTATATGGCTAAACTCAGAAAGTAATGCTGGCGTAACAGTTTGAATTCACTTTCTGTGGGAGAAAGATGAGTCTTTCTCATCCTGTAAAGATTTACAGCTTCAGAAACCCTTTACAGGATCACTGAGGTAGAACTGACTTGATGGCATGCAGTGATAGCTGCATATGGCTGAAATCTTCAAAATAAATGCAAAAACCAGAACCTATGGGTTATGGTTTGGCATATAGTTTGTTTTTACTCAGGGTGATCAGTTAAATCCCCAAATATGCAGAAACCCTCTCTGAGGCCTTCATCACTGTAAAGTTCTGCCAACATCTATGCAGTATTTATATAAATTACCAAATAATACCAAAGGCTCCTACCCAGAGATAGCTGCAAGTTTTTGGTGTGCTTGACGGGCCATTTCACAGCCTTTGGTTCTTGTCTTGTGCATTTCTGCTCGGAGTGAGGGGCAGCTGACGGAGACATCTCCAATTGAAATGACCAACTCTCGGTACAGGGCCACTTGGGTGTTGAACTCTTGGACAAGCTGCAAAAGACGAACATTTCTTTCAGTAAACACTTATCCTCAGAAAGTTTCCTACTTCAGTGTGTGTAAGCAGGGGCCTTCACTGACTACTGATTGTTGCTGTTGTTAAGTGTAGTTGACTCATAGAGACCCTGTATAGGGTTTCTCAGAAGTGACTGATCTCTTAAATCTCCAGCTAAGAAGCCTACAAATTGTTTGAAGCTTAAGGCACAAAGATGGACAACACTTATCCAAGGCAAGTACTGATTTTTTCATTACTACAAACCTATGGAAGCTCTATTTTCACACCTACTTTCTCCCATCAGTTCATACTGAAGAGCCAGAGCATATTTGCAGACCTAACATGCCACTCCTAGGTATCTAGAGAAAGATCCTGGGGACTCTAATTCAGAGGTTCTCTTCTACTGCTGTGTGGAGACTGGATAATGGATTTGAAGTTCCATGGGAATAAAAACCAGGGTATGTAATTGACAAACCACCGTTCACCTCCTGCTGGACCACTAAACCCCCTTTAGCTTCCGACACTGACTGGAAGACCTACCACAGCCTCTGAGCCAAAACCTTCATCCTCACCGCAGCGGCCCGTGCGCTCTGTTTGGGTTTGTTTGCTACTGTCTCCCCACAAAGGCAGCACCCCCACCTCCTCCTTCTCGGGTGGACTAGCCAGTTCACCGAGTCCTTTGCATTCACCATTCTCAGAGAAGACAGAGACACGACCTGCAGTCTCTGGTCCCCAAGACCCTTGCCATGGCACTTCCCTCCGCTGGGTCATCACGACCTGGGTGTTACCCCGAATTTGGAGGACTACACATTCAAAAATAGTGTATGTGCACGTGATCGCCACAGAGGAACTGAGGGTGGGGGAG